ATACACGTTGAATGCATTAGGAGAGGGGACAGAAATGATAGAGGAGTCATTGCAGGCATATATTACAATCAAACCGAAAGAGGGGAAAGACCTGTCTCAGTGTGCCAGTTACAGACCCATGTCATTATTAAATATAGATACAAAATTATGCGCAAAGGTTTTAGCAAATAGGATGAAAGAGCTGATGTTGCAGTGAATACATTTAGATCAGGTGGGTTTTATCCTAGGGAGAGAAGGAAAGAATAATGGATTAAGATCATAGATTCTTTTACAAAAAAGTAAGAGAGTCACCCGATGTTAGTTTTGTCGATTGATACTGAAAAAGCCTTTAATAGGGTAGATTGGGGATTTATGTTTGATACACTGGATGTACTAGGAATTGGTCCTAAAATGGTACAATGGATAAAAAGGTTATATAGTTGTCCATCAGCAGCAGTAAAGGTTATTGGTACACTGTCAGTCTTTTAAAATCTATAACGGAACAAGGTAGGAATGTCCACTATCCCTTCTATTTTTTGTTATATCCTTGGAACCGTTATTAGTGAGTGTACGAAGGAATATAGATATTAAGGGAATCTCAATAGGAGACGTGGAACATAAGGTCGCAGAATATGCAGACGACATGTTATTTTACATTGTAAACCCCAGAGTAATCTTACCCAACCTAATGAAAATTTTAAAATATTATGGAGAGTTATCAAACTTGAAAATTAATCCATCGATGTTGGAGATATTAAATATTAATGTTCCGAAGATAGAACAGATACTACAGAATGCTTTCCCTTTTTATGGAGGGAAAAGGAATTGAGCTATTTAGGTGTAAAGTTAACCACTTCCATAAAGGATATATAACAGATAAATTATATTCCATTGATAAATGAGATAAAGGACAAATTAAGGAAAATATCAATAGGACCACTCTCGTGGATTGGCCGTATAAATATGCTAAAGATGGTGATAGTCCCAAAGATCTTGTACAAATTTCATATGCTCCCAATATATTTACCGGGGTCATTCTTCGAGACAATTAAAGGGATGATCCTTAAATATATATGGGTAAATAAAAAAACACGAGTTAAATAAGAGGTTCTGTGTAAAGATAGAATTAATGGGGGTTTAAATGCGCTGAATTTTAGGATATATTCCTGTTCGGTGCTGGTATCACGAATAGCAGACTGGATATATAATTCACGGGGGGAAAGTTGGGTAAAGATAGAAAGCACTTTGAGTGAGTCACAATTAAATAAGATTAATTGGCTTCCACAACAGTTTTGATTTTTTTCTGAGAACACAAGTGTTCTAACACTGAATGTTTTTAGGGTATGCGATAAAATTCATAAACAAAGGGGGTGGGAGTATAATTCACTGTTAATACCACTGGGGGGAACAGAACTCTTCCCTCCGGGGAAAGAAAATATTGCAGGTAAATGGATCAAATATAGAAATGCATGTTTAAAAGATATCACTAATAAGGGGAAATTGTGTTCTTTCTTAGATTTAAAAAAACAAGAGAGAATTATTTTTTATGTTGGATGAGTGGCGTTATTGTCAATTAAGACATTTTGTTGCAGTGCTCCTGCAGCCACTAAGAGCAGTGGAAGACATGTATTCATTTGAACAATTTTTTTAGTTTGGAGACAATAAGAAACCTTGTTACCTCGTGTATACAGTATATAAGATCCTTACTGGTATATATGGATCAACCTCTCCACTGTTTTTGGAAAAGTGGGAAAATGAGCTTGGGACAAAAATAAGTGAACAAGAAAAAAAGAAAATATTTAATTTAACACACAGTGCAATAGATATGAATACAGTAGAAATTAATTATAAATGTTTAGTAAGATGGTATATTACACCTAGTGTGGCATATAATCAATGAGCAGAGAGTTCACTTTTATTTTGGAGGGTGTGTGGGGTGAAAGGAACAATGGCACATATATGGTGGGATTGTCCCAAAATACAGGAATTTTAGCAAGGAATATTACAACAAATACACAAGATAACAGGGATTAGTATACTTAAAGATCCCTGGGTCTGCTTATTCCACAAATCTGAGCTGACGGTGGCACAATATAATAGCATGATGGTATTTTATTTAATAAATGCGGTGAAATGATTGATCCCTAAATTCTGGCAGATGCAGGAAACCCTGAAAATAAAAGATTGGATAAATAGAGTGGAGTTTATCTATAGGATGGAGGAACTATACCATATTGAAGAGGATGAAATTGAAAAGTTTAGGAATATTTGGGATAGGTGGAAGGATTTTAAAACATCCAAGAGATTTTTAGAACTCATCGGACTGTAAAGGAGGGGTAGAGACAAGATAGAAATTATGGTTTTCTTTTTTAAGTTGTTTGGTAGGTAGGGAAGGAGAGTGGTGTGATGAAGAAAGAGAAAATAGAAGGAGGTGACAGGGGGGTTAGGAGAGAAGGAGGGAAGGGATTTTGTAAAATTTGATTTGGAGATTATGTGATTGTAATGTTTGAATAATGTGTTGTATTTATAATATAAACTTATTCAAAATATATAATTAAAAAAAAAAAACCACATGCAGCAAAAATCTCAATCAGTTCTGGAATTCCTGCAAGTCAGAATTTAATCAAGGGCCTTAACTCTGAGATGTTTCTGACCTCAGTGAACAAAGAAAAAAAACTACTAAAAAATAAGGCTGGCTTACTTTGGGCCCTCAGAAGCTGATTACAAGGTTCAAATCTGAGATAAAGAAAGAGAGCTCTTTAACTAGGAAGGTTAAAGTCCTTTTAACTGCAGTGAAAGATCCTCTGCATGCTTGTTGGGGCCCAGCTGGTGCACTACAAGAATTCAGATTTCCTTGCTTGCAACAGGTGGAAGTCCTCAAAGGGATTTAGGACAGCACAGACACTATCTCTTTAACTGGTATTTAACTTGGGCAGTACCTCTTTAAGGCACAAGATGAGATGCAAGTTTTCAGCAAAAGGTTTCCAAGGTGGGCAGAAGCACTTACTGGCAAAGGGTTAATTCCTTTCTAGCAAATGGCAACAATGAGAAGTGTCCCTTGATGGATGTAGACCAATTGAAGAGGAAACAGTGGTGTGGCTTTGCCCGCAGAGGGCGGACACTGCAATTGACTCCAATGACTGGATTATGCTGGAGAAGTGTTTGCTAATAGGTCTGGTGAACTAGGCCTCAACTTGTGTAACTGTATAGAGAATGGCTGATTCTATAGAATGTCAGTGACAATTTACGTGTCTGGAGATTGGGACTCTCTCACCTGATCTGTGGTATCATCAGTCACTGGTGGTCTCACTGTAGATTGGGAGGGGCAGCGGTCCTGTGGTCTCTCTTGCAGAGTTTGTTGGTGACAGCAGCCTCCCAGGTCTCTGGTCGACATGGTAGTCCTCCAGATTCTTTGGCGATGTCAGCAGTCGGCTATTCCCACTCTATCTCCGCTCTCCCACTCTGCGGCCTGTTCCAGTCCGCCAGCATTGCGCACAGCTTCCTTCTCACAACTTCCTTCCAGCTTTCTCCCAGCTCACTTCCTGCCTCTGTTTCCAGGCTTCTACCTTTTATATGCCTCCGCCCACATGCCAGCTCCTCTGGGAAATGTAGTACCCCAATTCGCTGCCTTCCAACAAAGTCCTGCGGTTCAGCCTACAAAATCCATAAAGCTTTCCACCAGGATGTGTGCCACTAAGTTTCAGGACACTGCCACCTTGTGTCTCTTTTAACATCCTGCAGTCTGAATAATAGCAGGGTGTTACAGTTATGGCTGCTATAAGAAAAGTGCTATAACAGAGGTGCTCAACCTTTTTGAAGAGTGAGAGCCATTTAAGTGATATGTTAACCAGTCGCCCACCAAACTGGAAATGCAAATAAGCCTTTACTGTCCTGAGCCCCTTTATAAGGCAGCTGTCACACCACACTGCGGGTGCAGCACCGTGCACCTGCGGCTTGCCTGCTGGTCAGCTCTACTGAGCCATAGACTTTTATTACATCTTGCGGGTGTGGTGCACATTCTGAAAGCTCACCAAAGCCACAGAATATACAGTAACAGAAGTCTATGGCTCAGTGCAGCTAATCTGCAGTAAAGCCGCAGGTTCACTGCACCTGTGGGTCAGTGTGAAAGCAACCTAATAACCCTTTTTTAAAATTGCTAAAATTCCCATTACAAAAGCACAGTTTATGTGATGTTCAATACACTGACCTCTTCCCCTTCCAGCTTCTGCTTGCATCGCTTTCCAGGCTGCAAGAAAGGTCCCACACACTTGGTATCACCTGGGAAAGGAGTAGGCACTACAGAGGAAGCATTGGCTTATGCAGCCCCTGCTCCCTCTGTGGCCTCCTGCTTCCTCCACTGCCATCTCTGATGCTCTGGGATGGGGGGTCCACAACCCATTGATCACAATCTGCGTTTTCCATCTCAGAGCATGGACATGCGCCATACTGGTTTGAGGTTGTGGGCCACATCAGAGGGCTCCGTGGGCGACATTTAGCCATGGGTTGAGCACCCCGGTGCTATAATCTCACCCCTTTACTGTTATAATTTGCTTTCCCAGGGCTTCATTCAAATCCCTGGAAAACCCCTCTTCTGGGTATGAAAACAAGAGGCACACAGTGTCCAGTGTGGTGTTTGGAAGACCTATCACCAGGCCTGAGCATTGATATTTGTGTTGAGATAGGACTGGAAATGTGAATACTGACTTTGAGAAAGGGTAGATTCACATGGTTCAGTTGATGATTTGGGCAGGTAAACTGAAATTCAAATTCGCAACAAGCTATGTGCAGCTAGTAGTCTGGTTGGTCACTGGGGATGTTAAAGTTCACAGCCCTTAGTGCAATTTCTCATGGCACACTGAGATTTCAGTTAAGCTTAAAATGACATAATTGAAAAATATCTACCCTATATAAATCAACTTTATCATATTTACCTATTATATACATATACACTGTAAAATATGTAGCTGATCAAAATACATACAGTAAAAACATATTTCATAATGGTGTTATTTCCCGTTTAGGCTTTAGCTCCACAAGGGATCGGAGTTGCCACAGGAGAGCAAGTAAGTTTTTAGTGTTTTTTCATGTGTCTATATTGCACACTCAAGGGATGGCCATGTACTGCTTCCAGTCAAATTGTAAGTTCAAAGATTGTTAAAAATCAAAATAATGAGAGATCCCAGTTCCAGCAAGAGTGTTTCATAATGGAATGCATAGTGTCATGAAAACACTGATTATCACTACAGCAGAGAATTAGGAAGTGCACTTTCCTAATTCTCAGCCTGAGTTTCAAAATTACAAATTAGTCATGTAATTCTTAAAATTAACTGTCCCTTACTGATACTGCTAAATTTGACTTGGTTATCGTACAAACTTTGGTTAAAAAAAGGGGTTAATAAAGGACAACAAAAAAGTATTTTGTGTCTCATAAACTAGTTAAAAAGTAAGTCCACTAAGCACGTGCTAAAACAAAATTCTGTTTCAGAAATCAATATTATTTAAAAAAAACTACCCCTTGAGTGGAAAACCGCTATCCCTCGAGCAGCTAAGATCACAAGGAAAAGTTTTGTGGACACTAGTTTTTCCTCCCCCTATAACTGAGCAGATCTGTCTCCTATGATGTTATATAAGTCACGGTTGGGGGGGGGGGGGGGGGGGGGGGGGTGTCCACAATTATTCCCCCCCCCCCCCTCCCCCAGCTCTGCTCTGATATCTATTGGCATAATATAGTGAAAGGAGTGGCCAGAGGTCCAAGGATTTTCAGTGCATAAGATATAAGACTGCTGCTTTCTGATTTTAAAACTGAAGTAGAAATGTTAGATACAACAGTATCACACTTTTCCCTAACCCTCAAGAGGTGTACAATCTAACGTCCCTAACTTGCATTCATACATACACATACTAGGGCCAATTTAGACAGGAGCCAATTATCTTTCCAGCATGTCTTTGGACTGAGAGAGTACCCGGAGAAAACCCACGCAGGCACAGGAAGAACATGCAAACTCCAAGCAGGTGGTGCCATGGTTTGGAATTCAAACCAATGACCCTAGTACTACCAGGCAGAAGTGCTAACCATTTAGCCACTGTGCTGCCCAAATCCATTTTTTTTCCCCAAGACCTGTCAAGTCAGGGGTGCCTGTTTACAGCTGAAAGTACCAATAACCACCAAGATCATTGTCTATTCTGATGACTACAAACTTAAATCCACAAGTAACTTAGCAAGTAGAAAGACTTATGTTTGTTGCCTCTGCTTTTCTGTTCTGTTCTGTATCAGTGAAGAAAGAGGAATAGGCATTAGAACAAAGAATCTGAAATACAGTAACTCATACTTCCTCTTAATTCTACTCCTCTCTACACTATCAACCATCATTTATTAAATTCTCACCTAACCAAAAATCTTTTGGCAAATCAATGTATGGAGTTTTTAGCATGTATAGTGCTCTAATAAAGCTGCTGCTGCACACAGCTATGTAGTGTCCTCTCAGCTTTTTATCATGTATCCTGGACACAAAATTAATGAAATTTACAACTACAGTTAGGAACAATATTAGTCTGTCACAATCCAGTAGTCAGCTTGCACTGGAAAATAGTAACTTAAAATACCATCCCAGAATAGCTAGGTGGGGCCTTAAAGTGCACCTGTGACCAGACTATAAAGCTTCACGTATTGATATATTCTTAGTAAGGAATAAATAAACTCTGACCTCTGTAGCTTCAGGCACTGTGAAGAAATGTGTCCTCAACATTCCTAAGAAAGGCTCCCTGGTCCAGCTGTAGTCGAATTCTTGGCAGCTTTATCACTTTTCTCTCCCTGTGGTGACTTGGCGGCCCTCCAGCTTTTCATTGTAAACAGAAGGCTTCAGCTCCTTGTTTACATTAGAATGTTTTTGTATTTATCATTTTTATTTATTACTATTTTTGTATAAAACAATTACAGTATTAAACAGAGGCACGTCGGATTCAGTTGCCTCTGCAGGCTGAAATCATTATTTTCTGAATAAAGCCTTTAACTTGTATTTGATTATTATGTCATATCTGACATAGTGACCACATGATTAGGAACTCCAATTGGTTTCCGTTTGTTAGTGGGATCAAATGTTGCCTGTAACAGCCGTGTTCGGCAGCTACCAGGCACACAGAGTGTTTAAAGGAATGACATTTATCTATATATCCACAGACCAGTGCATTTTACTGAGGAATGTATACATGTAAAGAAGATGAGTATAATATTTATAACCTCATTAGTGTGTGTTAATGCTTTAAAAGTTTTAGGGTTGATTAAGAAAATAAAGGTAGTAAACTGCAAAAAAAATTCTAAAAAATCTTCTCCCTGCAAGCTAAGAGCATAATGTGCTAGTAAGCATCGTATAATAGCACATTATGAATGACTTCTCTGAAAACAAAGCAAAACTATCACAATGCAAGCCTACTAGTTGACCAACTCTTTAAAAAACATGAAAATATTGTGTGTCTTATCCAGGGGCGGACTGACCATTTGGAAACTCAGGCACTGCCTGAGGGCCCAGGGTCAGTAGGGGGCCCCATGAGATGCCCCTGGTACCTTTTTCATAGGCTTTTTTGAGTTTGGGGAAGGGCACAGGGGCCCCATGATCCCCTATTGCCCGGGGGCCCCATGAGTTGTCAGTCCGCCCCTGGTCTTATCTTATTTCAACAGTTTTTAGGAAGTAACACTTGTAGCTTATCTATACTGCCTCTAGTGGCAACAAATCTCTACATGTAATAGAAAAATAAAAATATGCAGGCATGTAACGTGTGGATATCACAATATATTTTCAGGAACTGTTATCATAACTCATAATGTGCTCAATAAAATGACACTATCATTTCCATTTAAATGCTAACTATTACAGACTCCAAGAATATTTAACTATCTGTTTATTTCTAATCTTGCCTTGACTACTGTATGTGGTCTTACCATTGCTTCTATATGTACATTAAGATTAAACTTTTTTTTGGTCTGTAGTGTCAGAACAGAGTAATGTTTAAACAGTTTCTACAAGCCAGTGCTCTCCAGTATCTTCAGATTGACAGCTGCAGATTGGGAAGTGTGAATGAAAACCTCTCTGTTCTTCTCATGGCAAAGAAATACAATGGTAAGGCTATATACACATTCCAGAAACCACACAACTGTTGAGACATAAATATGTTTAATGACAAATGTTAGCCTTTGTTAGCCCTAAAGTACACAAGTATGCTTTTATTTTCTGCAGTGTTAAGGGTTAGGATGTATCCTCCATAGTATTATTTTCATTATGTGCACATATCAACATATTCAACAACGGTTTCTCAAAACATTCCTGGAAGATGTGAACACAGTTACTATCAGTTCATTATCAACATGTGCATAATTGCATATATAATATTCTCATGAAATCTTTGTTTTTTATTTTTTTTACTTTTTTTCACAAAGCAGTGCTATTTTAATGCACAATTGCTTGTGTTTCTAGTTGTTTTTTTCTGTTCATGTTTGTCTATTTTCAGTAGACCTTTGTCTAGTTATCTAGCTATGATATGTGCCTTGCATTTTGCTTCTTTTCTCAAAAACTGGAATTTGCCCATTATTGAAGGTGATATTCTGGGTTTTTTTTGTGTTCTATGACTGTTCATGAAAACTGACCTGTCTGCTGCCATCTTTACCACCCAAGAATTTAAAGGGTAACTCCACTTTCGTGAGAAAAAAATATTGCAATTGAAAAAAAAATAATATAGCATACAATTGCAACACAAGCCATATTGTAATTTATTGGTATTGAAATTTACCTTTCCTTTTCAGTCTGCGGCGCTGTAATGTAAAATTCAATGCAATGTGGCAACCTGGAGGCCTTCTGTACACACTTGGTGTATAGAATGCCCCAAGAGATGTAATTTACTGCTTGTTTGACTGGCTCACTGATTTTTCCAGAAGTCTGCACTAAGATACAAGTCAGATTTTAGGCATTCTCTGCAAAAAAAATGTCATTTTTGATGAGATGCACCCAAAGGGTTACTTCCAAAGGAATGCAGACCCTACCAGTCTCCTCATTAAATCCCTGCAAGTATATCAGCTGTTCAATATTGAAAACATCACTCCCTTCCAGAATCAGTCCTGCACAAGACATGATCTAACAAAGAACTAGTTCTACAGATCAGAAAAAGGTAGAAATCTGTAACAAAGCTTGTTAAAAAATCCTTGGAATATACAGTGAACATCTGGAGGGGAAGAAAAATTGAGTTACTCTTTAACCGCTTCCGTGCCACCCTATAGCAGAAATATTGCTACAGGGCAGCATGGGTGTGCAAAATCATGTGTATATATACATGATTTAGCAGTTCCAGGTATTTGCGGCCTCGGCTGTCAATCACTGGGTCCTGGCTGGTGATTCCCCGCCGATCTCTGAGGATTTCCAAGGGAAGAGACCTGTATGTAAACAATGCAGATCTCTCCCCTATCAGGTCCTGCACACAGCTTTGTATGGTTCTGCATAGCAGAGTCATACAAAGCAGTGTGCTTACAGTGTAAAACACACACAGCCCATATAGTAAAACAGCACACAGTTAACCCTTTGATTGCCCCACATGTTAACCCCTTCATGTTCCGTGCCATTAGTACAGTGTCAGTGCGTTTTATTAGCACTGATCACTATATTGTTGTCACTGGGGATGACAGTGACTCCAAGTCAGTTCCTCTCATTGTCAAAATGCCCGCCCCAGTTCCGCTATAAGTCGCTAATCGCTGCTATTACTAGTGAAACAAATTTCCAGTATATATACCGCCATTTATAGACACTATAGCTTTCACGTAAACCAATTAATTTACCTGAATTTGGGATTTTTTTTTTTAGCAAAGATATGTAGCAGAATACATTTTGGCCTAAATTTATGAAGAAATTAGATTTTTTTAATTTTTTTACTGAACATGTATAATAGCAAAAAGTCAAAAATATAGGGTTTTTTTTTTCAAAATTGTCTGCAAATACATTAATGTGTAATAGTTCAGCCTTTCTGGGTACCTGAATTCTCAGTTGATTTCATCCTCCTGTAATCTCTTGCACCATAACATTCAACCTGGGAGTTGGGGTAGCGCACTGAGCCAGTAAAGGTTCTGTTTCTTTATATAATGAGTAAAGCATTGAAAACATGCCTAGAGGAGGGTAGAATATTATTATTATAATACTACAGGATTTAAATATTGGCAATAGTTTACACAGCTCTTTACAATATAAAGGGAGACAGTACAGTTACAATACAGGAAATTTGCAAAGGTCTTGCTCATGAAAGCTTGCAATGTAAAAAGGAGGGGCACGTGATACAAAAGTAATAACTGTGTGGGAAAGAGTTAAGAGAGAAAGTAAAAGTTCAGGCATTGGGAAGAGGTGGCATAGGCTTTCCTGAAGAGATGAGTTTTTACCACTGCCTAAAGGCGGCCAGAGTAGAAGACAGACAAACAGATCGAGGAAGAAAGGCTCTTCAGTGTCAAGCCACCTTAATGGAGAAAAATGAGGCCACTGACTTGGCTGGGATGGCTAGACGTGCCACTATCACAAGACTGGGTGAGCAAAATTATAAGTGTTTTGGGAGTAGAAACTAGTCACACACATGTACAGTATTTCAGTTATGCATTTAGCTATTTTCTTGGAGTTAAGTTTAAGACTTTTAAAAGAATAATTTACCTATGTTTTTCCATAATTACATATTCTTGCTATATTTGAAGCAACTGAAAGGATCAGATAAATTTAAAGTGGTTGTAAAGGCTGAAGGTTTTTTACCTTCATGTATTCTATGCATGAAAGTAAAAAATCTTCTGTGTGCAGCATCACCCCCATAATACTCACCTAAGCCTCCTCTTGATCCAGCGATGTGCACTGGAGTCTTGGCTATCCTGGGACTTCCTCTTCTCATGGCTGAAACAGAAGCGGGAGCCATTGGCTCCCACTGCTGTCAATCACAGCCAGTGTATAGAGAGAGGGGGGGGGGCGGGGCTGAGCTCCAGCTTCATGTGTGAATTGACACTCAGAGCAGCGGGTGCCCCCATAGCAAGCTGCTTGCTGTGGGGTCACCAGACAGGAGGGAGGGGCCAGGGGCGCCAGCGGGGGACCCAAGAAGAGGAGGATCCGGGCTGCTCTGTGCAAAACCACTGCATACAGCAGTTAAGTATAGACATATTTGTTATTTTTTTCTTTAAAAAAAAAATAAACCTTTAGAATTGCTGTAAGGCTTTCCTGAAAACTATCAAGCCCCACAAAAACTTAAAAGAATCACTTTTACTATGTAAAATATGTCAAAGTAAGGTGCTCAACAAATGATGTGCACAACAAAACTATAACAATAAACACAAGAAATTTATGTGAGCGAACCACCAGGACACTTTCAGTTCTTCCACATACTCCTTTTGTGTTGTGCACCAAACGACCACCATCACATACAGACTGCGCACTCCCCACAGGACCATAACCGCTAAATAAATAAAGGTCATATAGCGCTGTTCAATAAAGATGTCATCTGTCAGGGTTCAAATGGTTTCTACTGATAATTCATTCCTCCACACTGCGCTCTATTGCTTTCCCATATTCAGTCAACCAAGCCTAAGGAAATTGCTCATAGTGTAGTATATTTTTATTTAGGTATACATTAAAAGCAACAATACAAATGCCCACCCACGTATTATTGTGCCCGTATGTGATGTCAATAGGAACCAAAGTCTTTAGGAGCTTCCTGAAGACACTGGTTCAGCAAAACGCATTGAACCGTGACACCATCACTTTCAGTTCCTATTAATGTAACTTCTGGTCTTTGGAGCGCACACCATTCAGAGAGTGAAACGGCGGGCCGACACCTATACAAACCTCTTTACATTGGTGCCAACCCTGGGCACAATATTTATTTTTATAGTTTTGTTGTGCACATAATGTGTTGATCACTTTACTTTGACATATTTTAAATTTAAAGGTGTGTGAATACACTTAAAGAAGCAGCTGCACTTTTATTTAGGCAGCATATAGATCACATTTGTTTTGCTATTTTGTTGCATGAAGTAGGCACTTTTATAATTTTTGTATGGTTTATCACTTTTTGATACACAATAGAAACGAGACCTCTATTAATCAGTTTGTATAAATCTGGTAGTAATCAATGGTATGTGTCAATTGTGTTTTTGTTTTCAGTCCCTGTTTGCCCTCATGCCGGTGGAGTTGGTCTTTGTGAACTGGTACAGCATTTGATTATATTTGACTACATTTCAGTGTCGGGAAGCCTAGAAAACAGGTTGGTTAACTGAATGTTGTGCTCTGTCTTCACTAATAACTCAGAGCTAAAATGAAATGTTAGCAAGGGAACAAACCATAAAGGACTTTGACCAAGGCTGGTACATCAACACTCACAAAATAGCCAAAATAAAATGAGATATTTATTGATTTATATTCTAAAACAAACACATACACACGGTGTTGCACAGAGACCCTAAAACAAACCACAATAAAGTAACATAGCAGCAGGGCCCTATTGCTAGAACATTTGGTCATATCCATTGTATCAATCTGACCCAGTAGACGATAATCCAAACATATTACTCCTAAGTGTAAAGTATATTAATGCCTACATTAATAATGACAATGCATTATATTGATAATCAATAATAAACATTTGCAATCTGTTTTATGGAGATATAGTCCCATACACTGATCTGTTTAAGAGACACCACTTGTTACTAATCAACTCCAGGTGAGGTTGTCAAATGTCATCACTTAGATTGCTGAATCCTATGATAGAAAATCAGTTCATTGTAATCCACATGTCAGTCATGTAAGTAAAAACCTGATTACTTATAGATAAATAACAATGAAAAATAATAATATAAACATAAAGTGCTGGATAGTATTAGATGAATGGAGCCTTTAGGCATACAATATATCCCATTCATCTGATGTTGGTATCTTGTACTGATGCACATCATAGCATCTATAAGGCGACTGGCTATGTAGAACAGATTCGCATCCAATAGCCAACATGTTAAACCTACAGATGGTATCATTAGTCCTATTCTGCAAAGCAAAGCAGTCAGCTTAAGTATAACCAACAGCAAAGCGACATTCAAAAATCAAAATCAAGGAAGTGGTATGAAGCACAGTCTGAGCAAGAAGAGCATCTGCTAAAAGCAAAGAACATAACCTTATAGACATGGGAACATAAAGTTGATAAACATAAAGCATATAATGATTAGATATACTGTAGCCGTGTGGTCAGGAAATATGCTCGCTGATATACCAAAATATCCACAACATGAACTAAACTAAAACCAGAGCTCGAATCTTCATGCAGCAGAGGAACACGCGGCATCTGTCACTCGCTGAGGTGCAGCCCACAAAAGAACGGGGAATCTTGATACTAGCAAAAAAGAATACAACATGGTGCACTCTCCTCGTGCATTACCGTGATAAAAAAGAATTTATTATAAAATGACAAATGCATACTCTAACCAAAAAAGTCATAAAACAGAGACAAAGGCACAAAGAGCTCTGAGGAAGGGAGTTTGACTCCCGAAACGTTTTTGTTTTTTTTTTCATCTAAGGACCTCTGCTGTCTGGAACCGTCATCTTTGGCCCTTTGTCTCTGTTTTATGACCTTTTTGGTTTGTGAGTATGCATTTATCATTTTATAATAAATTATTTTTTATCGCGGTAATGCACAAGGAGAGTGCACCATGTTGTATTCTTTTTTACCAAAATATTCACGTATGACCTACTACAGTTCATAATCAATGTGATTCTGTGTATGCCATCTCCAAGTTATTACTGCTATGCACCACATATGCAGATCAGATGCTTGCAAATCAAACTGTCAGCTTAGGCAGGTAAAATCTCTGTTGAAAAATGCATGAAAAAAAATGGCATTTTAAATCTTATGACTACAAGCAAAACCAGTCAAAAGTCCAAAAATATTGTGAATCCATTCACATGTAGAATTAAAATTAAGCATCCATGTGTCCCCCAAACCAGTAGATCCTGCTAAGGTGCACAGATGCGATTTTATACTCTTCCACACCAACCATGCAGAAGTGATCACCCAATGGTAAAAGTTCTTACTCACCAAATTAATATGGCTTTTTTGTTAAAAGAAGGTCTCCGTGCACTTTGGGTTTAAGCTGAGATGTCTCCTCCTGCTTTGCAATTATCAGATCTTCCAGGAGCATCAGGAGGGTCTTGTGTTGTGTATTGACTTCTCCCCCATGTAATAAGGGAAATGCACATGAACCAAGAAAAATGCCTTGTATCACAGTGATAAAAACTGAAAATGGCCTGGACGGGAAGGGGAGTTAATATATTGGTCTTCAAATGGTTAAGATGACTACAAACAACTTTATTGCCTCCAAGACTGCATGGGATATCTTACTTTACTAATAGGAACTGTTCTAAAGATCTATGTATATAGCTCTTTTTATGACCAAATGTTACTAAAAGTAAACAAGTGGTTGATATGTGATACTAGATGTAAAATATGTTCTTTTATGTATGTTTTTTGTCTGTTGGTTTCAGGATGTGTGAGTACGTGGATCACCTCCATGAACACTTTAAGTATCCAGTGGCGATCCAGAATGCTTCTTATATGCCTCCAAAGGTAGCTGCTAATTTACTTCTTTTAGAAAACTAAGCAAAAAATAAAAATAACACAGAGAAAATAAACAACAAAAACATAATGGTATGTAAAAGCGCTTGACGTTATTGATAAAAATACAAACTATGCCATGCACAATTAGGAGTAGGTCTGTGCACATAAGCTTACTACATACATTTATTTGACGGGCAAATGCATTATGGAGTTTACAATAAATGGAACTCCTGGTCAAATGGGGTTTTTTTTATAGGTATTCTAAGTCTTTCATATATTCTAACAGTTTTTCCTTGTTCTTTGTACCCTCTAGTGGTAGAAATGTTCCTTAAAGTGGTTCTAAAGGCAGGGTTTTTTTTTACCTTTTACCTAAGGTAGAAAAACCTTCTGGGTGTAGTTCTCCCCTCAGCCCCCTTATACTTTCCTGAGCCCCATCTTGATCCAGTGATGTGCATGAGAGCCACGGCTCTCAAGCGTCTCTCTCTCCTCATTGTCTCACACAGCAGTTGGAGACATTGACTCCTGCTGCTGTCACTCACAGCCAGTGAGCCAATAAGGAGAGAGCAGGGGTGAGGCCGAGCCATGCTCTATGTGTGAATGGACAATGTCCATTCACAGGAGCACAGCTTAGTAGTGAGCCTTCTCGAGTGCCCCCATAGATAGAGGCTTGCTATTGAGGGCACTTAGCAGGGGGGAGGAGCCAGGACCTCCAGCAGAAGACCCAAAAAAATGATTAGGGCTGCTCAGTGCAAAACCAGCTAAGTATGACATGTTTGTTATTTTTTTTTATCATTAAAACCTTTAGAATCACTTTAATTCGTGTCCCAGAGGTCACCAAGACAGCAATTGAGAGGGCACCTATACATCAGTAAGAACATTGTCATTATTATAGTGGAGTAGGGTTAGGACCCATCAGGTTTATATGGTTGCAATATTATAGTGGAGTAGGGTTAGGACCCATCAGGTTAATATGGTTGCAAGAGTCCCTGTTCAGGAAATTCCATTCCGGAACCCTTTCTTTCTTAGAGACAGTGGTCACTTGGATGAGAGCTTAGAGAAAATATACCCAATACGTACCGTACTTGGTTGCCTTTATAGCAGTTGTGCACTTTTTCCAAAAAGGAAAAATGTGTTGGCTAGAGTTACACTGTAAAGGCAATCTGTACTTAAGGAATGTGTAGGCTTTCATTGCTGGTCTTTTCTTGAAAATGCTAATTACCTAACTTTCCGACAGTGGCAACTGCCACACACACCTGTTCCAGCATTAGCAATCCATTTTATTGATTAGGGTGATTGAAACACATCCCTACCAAAATCCTTTGAAGCATTTCACCCATTAACAGGGCTAAATCGTAGCTAGCTGGCTATCTCTGCCTTCAATGCTTTTTAACCACTGACCCTCAATAAATATGGAGCCAGTGGAGTAATAATTCCAATTCTGCATAACTGTTATGAGTTGGTGCCTTAGAAAACACTATAGTCACTGGATAATAGCCAGACAACCTAAAACCTTAAAAGGAGAAGTTAGTAATGGCACGCTACACATTTCTTGGTAATTATTTAATTTCAGCCACATTCCTTATTCCAGGGTTTCCCAACCTTTTTCTCTTGGGGGAACCCTTGGCAAAACGTTTGAGATATCAGGGAACCCCTGAAGTAATGTTCAGATCTACAGTTCAGTGAATATTGGCTTGATCAGCGAGCTGTTGATATAACAATTATTGTAAGAAATAGCATTAAATAATAGAATCAATACTAAAACATACCTGTTTACTGTAAAACTTGTGCTTGCTTTTTTCTGCAGATGCTTAATTCTGGGTCAAACTTGAGATAAGCAGTGTACAAGGGGGCAGCAGGGCAACGCACAGGGGGTCAGGACACACTACATGGAGGACAGCAGGGCACATTACATTGGGGCAGGACACATTATGGGGCACATTATGGAGTACAAACATAAATAAATGCTGCGCTGCCACTAGTGGTTAAATCCACCACACTACATATGTGATGGTGGTCCACAGATAATGTGTAACTATATACCATATAAAAACATGATGTGCTTAAAGTGTGCTCCTCCTCCCCGAGGTCTCAGTACATCCCTATGATTAGGGGGAAATAGACATTCCTAAATATCGTGCATGCATAAACAAATAATAACAAACTGTGCTACATCCGTGAATACTGTGCAAATGGTGCAACAATTATGGACATAAGTCCTAATATAACCTGGTTCAAACCAAAACATAAAATTATTGATGTGCAGTGCACTTGGCTGCACATCAAAAGTTCCAGTACACCACTATCCACATTCAAATATTTAAAGTCCCAATGTGAAACACTTTCCACATTCACATCCCATGTGATAATATGTGATCTGGTGATCAATCTTCTTATCTGTAAAGATCTGTGTGTTGAATGCTCCACTTTGTGCTCCCCCTCCGGAACCCCACTCACCACAAGATGTTGACCACCTGCATAGGTGGTTAAACTGCGTGTTTGGTGCTTCAGTAAGCCCCTACAGCGATCCGCTGCCTGTGTATACTTGGCGTCTCTATCCACTGGTTATGGACTCCATATGTGAAAAACACTCCAGATCATCCACAATACTCCTCCACCGCCGTAAAAAAACAATCAGAAGAAAGCTTCCATAGCGTAATACTATCTTTATTAGGTATAAAACACTTAAAATAGCACTTACATGTAAAGCATGTGTTTGGCACTTTAAAAATCCTAGGACATCGTCTGTGCTCCCTCTTAAGAGACAAAAGTGGCACTGACAAGCCCCACCCTACGTGTTTCGTCATATGACATCATCAGGAGCGGACATAGAGCAGAGGACATTATATAGGATAAGGGCACCTGGGATCAGTGCACTTTACATAAGATGAGGGCACCTTACAAGGGATCATGGCACATTGGATCAGAGTACCTTACATGGGACCATGGCACATGGGATCAGAGCACCTTATATAGGATCAGGGCACAAGGAATCAGAGCACTTTAGATGGAATCAGAACACCTTACATGGGATCATGGTACATGGGATCAGGGCACCTTACACGGGATCAGGGCACAAGGGATCAGAGTATGTTACATGGGATCATGGCACTTGGGATCAGAGCACCTTAACTGGGATCTAGGCTAGTGATGGAAAAAAACTATATTTACTAAAATAATTGTGTTTCCATGTTCTGTGACCTGTGAAAGACTGGATATAGCGAATGCAATGTCATGTATTTAACACTTTAATGAAAGATTTCTGAGACTTTATTTAAAGTTCTCTCAGCTGAAGACAAGCAAGTCCCGGAAGTAACACTGTACTTCTCAATGCAGTAAGGGGGCACTGCAGGGGAAATACTTAAATTTAGTTTGCTTGTGGGCTCCATCTTGTACCTCCTACAGTTGGGTGATTGTTGGGATACAGTAGATGATAGTATCTGTCCTCCTCTCAGGCCTTAATTGACAGTTAAGAGGGTTAATTTGACACATTAGTTTATCTTTACAACCTTTAAAACATCCTCTTGTTTACATATAGTCTGGTCAGTAAATTAGTGTTTCTTTTCCTCCTCTCAGTAAAATGGTGAGACTAACATCTAGAGAAATGTTTTTCAATAGGGGTTTCACGAGAGGTCCCCATGGTTTCTGCCACAATCAGCCCTTCCATCACAAGCAGAAGATGGGTAGATCGCATCCCCACATGGCTGACAGTCAAGCTACAGAGCCACAGAGGGAAACAACTTCACTGCGCTGATTTCAGCAGGCCCTCCCCTCCTGTCCATTCCAGGTGCCTATGTGTGACATCACTCAGGAGGAATGAGAGAGGAGGGTAGGTGGGGATCAGCATGCCAAATATGATCCAGCAGCTTTCCTGAGCTACTCTGCATGAGGAAAATCGCTGCAGACCCCTGTACTGTTCCCTCCTGGCCCCCCTGTACTGTGCTCTTCTGGCCCCCCTATACTGTTCCCTCCTGCCTCCCTGTACAGTTCTCTCCAGGCCCTCCCCTATACTGTTCTCTCCTGGATTACCTGTGCTCTGCCCTGCTGACCGCCTGCACACTGTTGATCTCAAGTTTGACTCAGAATTGAGCATGTATGCAAAAAAAAAAGCAAGCACAAGCTTCACATTAAGGAGGTAAGTTTTAATATTTATTCTATTGTTTCATGCTTTAAGAATAATTGTTCTTATATCACATTAATGTTCCATGAGCTGTACATATGAAAATAATTTCAGGGGTTGTCCGAGACCTCAGACTTTTTGCCAGAGGTTCTAGAGATAGAAACATGTCCACAGTGTAATTTCAGCTGAGAGCAAAGCTGCAATTTGCAGTGCAAGAAAATAACTTTCAATTTGTAGGACTACTCCACACTGAATATTTTTACATTTTTCCAAACATTTCCAATTTCTTCTGGAAAAAAATAGGGAAACCGTTTTTTTTTCCCATGGCTTTATAATCCCCAGAAATTTTACATCTCTAAGCAGGGCACATAGGATCAGAGCAGCTTACAGTGGATCAAAGCATGTGAGATCAGAGCACCTTACATGGGATCATAGCACATAGGATCAGAGCATGTCAGGACAAGTTTCATTACCTGAGTCATCTACAGGTGGCACTGTTGTTCTGAGAGTCGAAGGGTGTAGTTTTGGTGGCCACCAGTGGGTGTCCCCCAGAAGCCATGCTTTCTGGGTAATTAGGCTGCACCTGATGTGGGCTGCTGGGAGTACTGTATATAATCCTGCCTTTCACTGTAGTTCAGTGTTACTGTGGTCTTCCTGTGAGCCATGTGCCTGCCTGATCTTGATCCCTGTTCCTGAGACCCGCTTCCTATACCCTGCTCCCCTTGTTTCTTGTCTCTGTCATGACCTTGTCCTGCTTGGTTGTCATTTTGGTTGCTGCAATTTCATGTTTATTTGTCAATTTTTATTTTTTATGGTTTACTGGTGTTGGAAGTTTATTTGTTTTAATAAACTTCATTCAGCCTGGTTTCTGATTTCTTAGGGTACTGCCAACTGATCTGATCATCCTTGTTGGAAACCTGCATTTGGCATTCCTTACAGGGCATGTAGGATCAGAGCATCTTACATGGGATCAGGGCAAATGGCAGCACAGTGGTCTCCTTCATTTGCAGAGAAAACTGCTGTGACGAGTCCTCTTCTGTGGCACTGTTCCGCACTGGCCCCTCCTCCAATCCTCCCTTCCTGTCCATCCCGCGAGGTGAGGAGGGTCTGGAGGGAGCAGCGCTGCAGAGCTACGCAATCGAGCCGCTTGCCTGTATAGCTGTGCATGAGTCAGCAGAGGGGATGCAATCCACCAGTCAGCTGCCTGTGACTGACTGATAGAATAAGGCAAGTAAGTTGCGCAGCAATCTACCTAAAATACTGTATGTTCTGGGCAAAGTTTCTTTTTAAAAGACATGTTCAAGGTAACAGTTCTTATTATGTGGGAACTACTGGCAAGTTATTCATTCTATTTCTGTTTATTAGCTAAATAGGTGATTAAAAAACAGCAATATCTTTTAGTCATGTGTCCGGTAGGTTTTTTTTGTTTCAATATAAGTAATTACATTTTATCTGTCATGTTTCTTTTAGCATCCTGGCTACTCCACAGAAATGAAATCAGAATCAGTGTCACAGTACCAGTTCCCAGATGGAGATGTTTGGCAGAAGCTAATCAGTGAGGAAAGGATTGAAATATAGCACCCTTACTTATAATAATGGTTTGGGTCTCATTTTACCTCAACAAACAATGCTTTTCAGTACCTGTACTATTATAAGTGTTTATCAACCTTTTTTCAGTCAACGCACCCTTTAAAATTCTGCACAATCTCAAGGCACCCCATTCTAAAATGTATAAAACGATTCTACACAAATCCAGTACACCGAACGTTAGAGGTGATTTATTCTTCCAAAGCAAATACACCTTTGCACAGTGGTACTAACTATTATTCCAGTGTGTCTCTCTGTTTCTCTCCCTCACTCTGCTAATGTGACCCCAGTGCTGACAGAGAGAGGGGCAAACAAGGATAATGTGCATGCATCTGATGTCCTCCTTATCAACTGATAATGTCATTGGTTGTTAGGATGCTGGCAGCTAGAAGGTCAGAAAAGTGCACAATGAAACCTGTGGCTTTGTGTACTAAAAGGCAGGTTTGATCCACCTGCTGGCTTGTATGCAATTTTGGGGCATTTTGACAAGGCACCCTGGTTGAGAAAGGCTGTATTAGAATATAAAATAATATACAATGACTAGAAAAGCCTAGCTAATATTGATGGGGAAAAAAAAGATGATACAGCTTTCAACAGCTACAATTCAGCTACTTACGGGTTGTATTGTTATGGCCATAGAATCTGCTGATTTTTCTAGAGATTATCCTTACAATCTTTTTCAAAACAAAAGGTGTCCAACTAAGACTTATCACCCAATATATCACAGTACAGTAGTATCAAAGTAATAGTAAATCCTCAATTTTTAAGCATTTTTAGTAGCTGTTTTAATCACTTGTTGAGTATGCAGCTTCTTTATCTCTTAATGCTTGACTCTGTTCCTGTTTTAAGGATAAGTTCACCTTTCATAACGTTACACCAATATTCAGGGTGTAACATGTTATGAAAGCAGCAGCCCCGTTGATCCCCCGCTTTGACAGCTAGTGGGGGGGGGGGGGGATCTTCTCCCCCCCCTCCTGTCAAATTAAAAAAAAAAAGTGTCCATGCAGGGCTCTGCCCATGTCACTCCTCTGTGAATGAGTGGACTACAAATACCGACAGCCTTAGTGGCTGTGGGCTTGTATTTCTCAATGAACTACTATGGCGCTGTGGAGCACTGTGGTAGTTCATTCAGTCTTCCTGTCAGTATATCCGCTTCCCCGTACATCTCATACAGGCAAGCAGATATACTGAGAAGTCTGCAGGCGACCTGCATGGCACCAGCAATCTGCTGATCACTGGTGCAATGTTTGTCAAGATCCTGCAGCAGAAAAAAATAATAATAAATGCACATTCGTTACCTGCAAATAAAAGGTGCATTTATTATTATTTTTGTTTTTTTATCAAAAGGTGAACTCATCCTTTAAACTGGTGCCATGACTTCCCCAGGTTTCCTGTTTCAGGGTAACTCCTGAATCTTGCAGCATGATATGGAACCATTCTTGCATGCAGGGATTAGAATGGTCTCCCTGCACTGTGTACATCAATAGAAACACACACCCCATAGCCTAAGATGACAAGGCACTCCTCTGCTCCTCCCTCCTTCAAGCTAATAGCCTGGCTCTGTCCACTTTTAATTCTTTGAGACAGCAGCAGCCTGTAGCATTGAAGGTCATTTAATGCAAATGCTGGGGTAATAATTTAAAGAAATGGGAAATATTTATTTTATTATGCTCAATGTGGTAAATTGTGTTGCGTAAAAAAAAGTTATCCTTTTTAGGTGCGTTATAACCATTGCAAGAATTTTAGCTCATCTTTCTAGACTTTTTTTTTTTTTTTTTGTTCAACCAGAGGGTTGAAAAAAAAAAAATCCCCCATTCACACACTAAGCGTGGATGGGGTAATCACTCCCGCTGTATTTTTGTATTCTGAGGGCGGAGATCCTCCCCACCATCAGAACAAACTGATCAGTGTTGCCAGCACAACTGATCACTAGGTAAAAACCTGACATGCTGGTTGTACAGAAGTTATATCGGTAGATCGACTTCTGTACAAGCAGCCTGCCCATACATGGGTCGAAATTCAGCTAATCCTTGCTGAACCAGATTTATTTATTTATTTCAGGTACTTATATAGCGTCGTCAATTTACGCAGCGCTTTACATATATATATATATATATATATATATATATAGTACATTCACATCAGTCCCTAACCTTCAAGGGGTGTACATATCTAAGGTCCCTAACATACATTCATACATACGTATACTAGGGCCAATTTAGACAGGATCCAATTAACCTACCAGCATGTCTTTGGAGTGTGGGAGGAAACCCACGCAGGCACAGGGAGAACATGCAAACTCCAGGCAGGAGGTGCCATGGCTGGGATTTGAACCAATGACCCTAGTACTGCCAGGCGGAAGTGCTAACCATTTAGCCACTGTGCTGCCCCAGTGAATGAATTTCAATCCATGTATGGCCACTTTTACATGTTCAGCTCTGTGAATACTAACATGCATTCCAGTAATTTCTTCTTTCCGGGGCAGTGAGTGGGGGGGGTCTACCTACTATAAGCACTTGATCATTCCAAGTGTTCTAATAGGAGAAAAGGATAAATAGTGAGTCATTCAGATGTGAAGGAAATTACAAATACAAAACACCTTCAGAGATGTACTGTATCTAAACATTGTACAGAACAGCCCTGGCTGCAGTAGTTACAAGGAAAAGCCCATTTAGATCCCCCCCCCCAACTTTACAAAATCATGCATTAAGGTAAAAAAAAACACCTTGTGTGTGCAGCAGCCCCCCTCACTACTTACCTGAGCTCCATCGCGATCCAATCATGTGCATGAGAGCCTCAGCTCTCCGGGGGACTCTCCCTTCTCATTGTCTAAGACCCACAGCAGGAGCAATTGGCTCCCACTGTTGTAAGTCACAGCCAGTGAGTCAATGAGGACAGGACCAAACTGTGGCTCTGTGTGTGAATGGTCAAGCAAGAGCAGTGGATCGAGAGCAAGCCTGTTTGGATGCCCCCATAGCAAGCTGCTTGCTCTGGGGGCACTCGGCAGGAGGGAAGGGGGGGGTGTCAAGAAACACAAGTGGGAGATCTGGGAAGAGGCAGCTTAGGGCTGTTCTGTGCAAAACCACTGCACAGAGCAGGTAAGTATAACAATTTTGTTATTTAAAACAAATAAAATTGCTTTTCATATCACTAACACCAAATAACGAAGCTCAATCTGTAAATGTATATCTTTTTAATGTACATGTGTGCTATTGTATAAGAAAAACACTCTGAGGGACATTCGTCAACTCTGTCACACAGCTAGGAAATGCTAAACAGGAGCAGTGAGACAGATTTACTAAAAGGTTAAAATTCACAATAAACTGCACCAAAATAAAACCTGAGCCCCACCACTTCCTACTTGGACATCTGTTTGAAGTAATAACTACAAAGTCTCAACTTCAGTAATAAATATGTAACAGCCCTTTGTCAATCTATCACAGTTAGCTGCTCAAAAATACAGGTGCAGGGTTATGACATTTATCAAACAAATTAGATTGATACTTTGGTTGGATTCTATTGAAGCCAGGGCTGGAATGGACTTGAGTTTCAGCAACTCAGCTGAACCTGTGTAGGTATACAGCTAGCCGTAAGTGTTAGGGATTACAGTGCCTCACACCTTCAGGGCTAGACTAAGCAAGATGTGGAATTGGTGTGGGCTTATCTTTCATGCCAGCTCCACATGTGAGAATTGGGGAAAGGCTTTAATGGGTAAGGAGACCAGCAACAGCCAAATCATTGGCTGTGGCATAAAGTTAGCCCCATGAACTACAGGCACTGAGAGGAGGACTTGCTTATGTGACAGAGATGGATGCTTATTCTGCCCTGTGCTTCAAAAATAAAGAGCAAAGGCTACAGTGTTAAAAAAGTAAATACATTTACTGGGGGAGTTGCACACGCACACGGGAATGGTCACAATCTAGACCAGCCCTGCACTACCTGGGGGATGAAACAGAACTTAAAGTAGTTGTGAACCTCTATAGTGTGTGTGTACTTGTCTTTATCCACAGTAATAAGTGTCAGTTATGGCTGTTGCCCTGCTCCGCTATCTGCAGGAGTGAATTCTGACAAGTTTTCCTGACACCAGGAGAAAAATGGAGATAGGGGACAGTTCTCCAGCACAGTCTGCTTGACAGCCTCAGCTCTATTCCTGTGTGAAGGGGGTGCATTTCTTCCCTCCAATCAACTCTCAAAACTCTCCTCACTGAACTCTGCAGTGTGTAAATTTCAGCTCTCTGGCCATTTTTTTTTTTTTTTTTGACAGCTCAGACTAGCTTTTTAAATTCTGCATTTAAACAGATGTAGAGATGAGAAGACTGCAGATAAAGAGGTACAACATATGTAGGAGGATTGGTTTCATCTCTGTGTATCCCCTGAGGCCAGTCACTTCACTGGGTATATGTAAAAGGTTTACAACTGCTTTAAGCAACTATCAGCTCCCGAGCACTACTTAATAGCCTGCCACACTATGGAACAATGTCTGGTACCTTCAAGAAAAACCACAAACCCACCTGGTTAAAGAAGGAAGGAGGTTCTGGCCAGAGCAAGTGCCAAGATGGTGCCAATAGATCAGAAACACAAAACACACCTATGGGGGCAGCAACAGCAAGCCAGGCTATACCACACACAACTGGAAAGATGTGACCAAAGTATAGCCATGAATAGAACATTTACGCCCTCAAAATTAGAGCTCAAAACCCATCAATTTAAACCGGAAGATGTCAAGAACAGATCCAGGCAATTGACCCTTCAGATAAGGGGGATCCCAGAAACAGTAACATACACTGCTCAAAAATATTAAAAAGGAACACTTTTCAGAGTATAGCATCAAGTCAATTAAACTCCTGGGATATTGATCTGGTCAGCTAAAAATCAGAGGGGGTTGTTAATCAGTTTCAGCTCCTTTGGTGTTGAAATTAACAACAGGTGCACTAGATGGGTAACAATAAGTCAACCCCCAAAACAGGAATGGTTTTACAGGCGGACGCCACTGACATTTTTTCCCCTACTCATCTTTTCTGTTTTTCACTAGTTTTGCATTTGGCTAGGGTCAGTGTCACTACTGGTAGCATGAGGTCTAACTCCTCCAGTATGGCACATCAATATGTGCCATTGGTAGGTTTGCTGTGCCTCCCAGCACAGTCTCAAGAGCATGGAGGAGATTCCAGAAGACAGGTAGGTTCCTACTGGTGCACAATTTCCAGCCTCATGTGCTGCGAGTATGCACGCAGCTCCTGGATGAAGAAATTGATACCATTGAATGGCCCCCACGCTCACCTGACCTAAATCCAATAGAACACCTCTGGGATATAATGTTTTGGTCCATCCAACGCCGCCAGCAGGCTGCACCTCAGACTGTCCAGGAGCTCAGTGATGCTCTGGTCCAGATCTGGGAGGAAATACCCCAGGACACCATCTGTCATCTCATTAGGAGCATGCCCCGATGTCAGGAATGTATACACGCACGTGGCGGCCATACAAACTACCGAGTACCATTTTGAGTTGCTGCAATTACATTTCAGCAAACTGGACGACCCTGCTGCATCATTTTTTCCCTCTGATTTTCAGGGTGCCTTTGAATTCAGTACGCTGTACGCTATGCAGACCAATACAAAGCAGCGTGCTGATGCAGACAGGGGAGAGATCAGTATTGTTTACATATAGACCTCTGCTCTGTCAGTGTTCATCGGCGATCCCCGGGTGCCAGCGGGGGAATCTCCAGGCGCGACCCGGTGAGCGACAGCTGTAGCCACCAATGGTGTCCGAGTGGGTACCTGTCAAAAATAGGGGAGGATGTCTTAAAGTGGAACTTCCCCTTCTGGGTGGAGCTCTACTTTGAAAGTGTGACTAAACCCAGGACCGGTTCACTATATCCGGTCTCCCACAGTTCACACTACATGGAAATGCAAATATTTTAGTCAATATAAAAACTGCAAAATACCTTTTCTCATCAGCAGTTAGAGCAGTCTTGTGACTTCTATCAATGTCCAGTTAAGCACTGGTTAAAGCTTGTAGGTGTTTTCATCACTGTCCTATGAGATTGCATAACCTCTTTCTGGACAGTGTGGATTGGCCTTGTGCTGATGACATGCACACTCTCAAGAAAAAAGAAACCGCTCTAGCAGTATACACCAAACTGAGCATGTGCAGAATGTCCCCTAGGCTGTGTTCTATCAGGAGATGCAATGGTTGAATGTGGAAGGGAAGGATCAGAGAAGACAGGATCAAACATCCTTTTTACACAATGCAGAGGATTAGCCCCTTAAGTTCCACAGCGAGTATAAAAAGCATGCTTTACTGCATATACAGACTGATTTTACTGTTGTAGGTTTAGTGACACTTTAATGTGATGAGCACAGCCTTGTTTAAAAGAACTGTGTCCCATGTGAATGGTTGGAGATAGGCAGAGTTCATAGAGCTCTTACCAGGCATTCTCCAGATTGACTGTTGAGGGATGGAATGGTTAAACTTCATAACGATCACCCCAAAGAAAACCACATGGATGGGGCCAGACAGACCAACACTCTTCTATTCCAAGCCTATTCCTATTGGCTTTTTGCTTACCTTGCACCATCTACAATCCAAAACTGATCTGAAATGAAGCTGCATATGCACTGCTGGAGCTATTTAGGATGGTCTTCCCCCCTGATCAAGGCAAGCAACATATGGTTACAATGCGAACAAAAGCTAAAGAATGCCTCAGGGACCTGGGCCTTTACTCCACCAAAGTTGCGAGCTCTGATATATTGAATCCCTGGGAGTATGGGGCGTGAATGGTTAATACAAAGCATATAGTAAAACTGTTCCAATTTTTCCTATATATGGAATCACTTGGGAATTGGCATTATCACTATCAAGTGCCTACCTCAACACCGTTTAAAGCCCAAGTGAAGACACTACGGAACTGAACTAATGCCACCCCTCTATTTACTATCTCAACAGAACTGTCCGGTCAGATGAACCCCTTCCTCATACCCACCTATTCCACTCAGGGAATGCTAACTTAATATTCAGCCTAAAAACACACATGCCACCTGAATCTAACCTGCGAACAGCCATATTGCCCTGGACTTATTAGAACACCATTCTTACCCCACACCTAGATAAGAAATTCATGACCAACTCTACACTTCACTGTAATACAGGCACCAACACTAGGGCTTTTAGTACTCTCCTACATCAAAGCCAATGTGTAGATACACGGAGAGGACTTGCTCCATCATACCCATGTCATGATTGGACCATAATGCTCTATTTACTTACTTCCTCGTAAAGGAGGCCACAAGACAGGTGGTGGGCTTTAACTGGCTTCCTTGTGAGCAATCCGAAGACCCATAAAACAGAATGATTCCTTGAGGGGAGTACTTCTCTTTAAATCATTTTATACTTTAATTGCTAAAATTTTAATAAAAACATCAGAATTCTGCCACATAAAAATGATATACAAACTTGGACCTTTAGTACATAACTGCAAATATTAGTTTACTATACAAAGACTATTGTATAAAACAAACAATTAAACCCGCACATTACACAGCCATTTCCATTTTGATAGTAGGGTGAGGGTCATAACCTTCAATATTGAAATCTTCTGCTTTGAAGTCATTGATTATTTTCACCTGGCGTAGGATCTTCAGCTTAGGAAATGGTCTAGGTTTTCTTTGAAGCTGGAATATACAGCAAAAAAGAGAAACAGTCAGCTTTTGTATAACAGTTTTATACCCAGAAACATCCCGACTATAAAAAGTTTTAAACTCTTAAAAAGCAGAGTTCCACTCACTCTGTAAAATAAATAAATGTCAGCAGCTACAAAAAAAACTGTAGCTGCTGACTTTTAAAAAACATCCACTCACCTGTCCCACGATCCTGTGTTGCCCCCGCTGAGCCAGTTTCACCGGTTGTCCTGCATTCCAGGAGCCGGCATCTTCAGTGTAGGCAGCTGGCTGTGACCGCTTGTGGCTTCACAGCCGGGTGCCCACTGTGCATGCGCAAGTAACGCTGCACTTCCTGAATGGCCCCATCGTCTTCTGGAACCTGTCACGTGTCCAAGACTTCGGGGAGGGAGGGCAGGACAACTTCTTCTGCTTACGATCGCAGCGGAACTAGAAGTGGGTATCTGTCAAATTCGGGTACCCGTTCCCCACAAGGTGCCAATCCTTAATGGGGAGCGGGGAACCAATCTTTAAAAAAAGAACTTCCCCTTTTGGGTGAAACTCCGCTTTAAATGACAATTGCTTTCAAAATTTACTTTAGTCATAACTGGGACTATCAAGTCTAATATGCATTCTTGTGCCACTCTATGGTCACAGAACAAAAAAGGTATTTGGGTGGTAGCAGCAGGCAATGGGCAGCTGCATACAAGTTTCATCTGTCAAATTCACACAGCCAAATTTCTCTCCTTTTGCCTGTCTGTGTGCTCCAGCACAAAGCTAAAGACAGAACTGACAAGGGAACATGTTGAGTAAACTCAGAACCTGTTAGAGACTACTTTAAAATGTTCCTGGTGCATGTGATGGATATTTTTTTTTTGGTAGCCTAGAAGCCCAGGCATTTTCATCAATACAGGGTTGAAAAGTTTCAGCTGCAAACCCATCTGATAATCCTAATGAAATTATTTCAAATTTACTTCCATAAGAAATGTGGGCAATTTACCCTAGTCCTTCAAAGTTTACAGAGAATATATTTAGCAGGGGGCAGGGATATAGTTAAGTACCACAGACTATGCATCTTTTGTTCAGCTGGATATTAGTAGTACACTACACATTTTGTGTGTAAACTTACTTGAGTTTTTAATGGTTCAACATGATTGAGGTATATGTGAGCATCTCCCAGTGTATGGATAAAGTCACCAGGCTGGAATAAGAAACAGTGACATGTCATTATATAACAAAAACATTGTTCTTTATAGCTTTATTTTTAATTCAACATTAAAAAAATTTAAAAAATAGATGTATCTATACATAAAAAAAAAAAATAAATTATATGACACGTGAGAAACCATTTGTGAGCTCCAAACTGATTGTAGTCAGAGCTTACACAGAGCTGACTATTTCCATCATCAAGTGACAGCTGGAGTGCCTGAGCAGGCTCTTCTCAAGCACCCTAACCAGGCCTGCATAGGCCAAATTTAACAATTTACAACACACCTAAATACATGTACTATAGTTACTACCTTTAGACAGAATAATCATATGTGTTATCCAATGTTATTCAACATTACCTTCAGTCCTGTAACATGGGCTATCATATAGGTCAATAAAGCATAACTGGCAATGTTGAATGGCACACCTAGACCCATATCGCCAGATCGCTGGTATAACTGACACGACAGCTCATTGTTGATGACATAGAACTGGCAAAGAGCATGACACGGGGGAAGTGCCATCAGAGGGAGATCTACAAAAAAGGGAAAAAATAAATAAAAAATTGCAATCCTAAGCTTGTCCGATTGGATGAACCTTGTTTAACCCAAAATTTCACTAGATGCTAGAACTTTTCATTCATAAAACAAAAAAAAAAAAAAAAAAAAAAAAAAAAAAACAAAAAAAAAAAAAAAAACACATTTACTATCAAAATCTAGGAGATACAGTTTATATTCAGGGGGTAATGAAAGGGGTTAAAAAGGGAAGGGGGTTTAAACTTGACAACCTTTCGGATTCCAGCTGCACATTATGATCCTCCTGTCATCTGGATTGTTCTTAATTGTTTCAATGACTCTTTGCAACTGGTCAACTCCCTGTCCTGTGTAATCTGCAGGTAAAAAACACACAACTGATTTACAAAAAACAGAAAAAAAAAAAACAAAAGAGCAGAATGTGACTGGATTACAACCTGTGTGCATGTTAAACACACACTGTTCATTGTATGGAGAGATCCCCAACATTGTAAACACACTAGAATGCAGAGATGTGAATAGACATGTCTTAGAGCAGAATTAGCCAAAATGGGTCAGGTACATGTTGAAAGGACATCTAAAAAAAAAAAAAAAAAAAAAAAAAAAAAAAACCCCCACTTGGTTACTTTTGCTTACTTCCTGGACAAAAGAAATGACCCCTTGTTGGTCAGCTGTTACATGACTGCACTGGCCACAAGCCATTGCACACATTATGCAGTAGCACAGGTTGTGGGGCACTGTGCAAATTGGTAAACCAACAGACGGGCTGTGAATGATTGTAAGCAAAAACAGATAAGTGAAGTGGGAACAGGAAGAGCTGAGAGACTGTTCAGAAGAGGTTTTTTTTTTTTACATTTTATTATAAATTAAATGGGCTAATACAGCATACATTAAACATGCAGCCTTTATGTGTACCTGTATGAATGTCTTTGTATTCTGCACCAAAATGCCTCCACTGAAAACCATATACAGGTCCAAGGTCCCCTTCCTCTCGTGACGTAAAGCCTTGCTTATCTAGGAACTCTCTGGAACCATTTGCATCCCAGATTTTCACCCCTTTTTCAGAAAGCTCTTTTGCATTTGTGGAACCCTGAAAAAAAAAATGCAAATATTCAAGCACAATAGGAGATCATGATGAATAATAGGTTAAGGCCCCCCCAATACTGTATTGCAGTAGGACACTGCATTTTACTGTGAAAATGTAACGCACATTACTGTGCCGTGCACTTTAAATGCAAGTTATTCAGAATGGTATACAAACGCAAATATAGTAGGGTTCAATATACCTACATACACACATTACTTGATTAGGCTGTTCACTGTGCAAGGGAATTTTCCAGAGCCTAATGAAAGAGGGGAAGCTGTGCTGTCTTCATCATCCAATCATGCGCAATAAAAAATGCTGCGTTTTCCAACTGCCTTTCCTTTGCTGAGTAAATAGCCTATTTGCCTTTAGCAAGCCAACGCCATTGTGTTCATGCAGCTAGTTTTGTGCACCAGCCACTTGTGCGAATGAAGCCTTAAGACATCCAAAGGCAATGCAATTGGTTGCAGAAAAGAAAAAAATTGCTCAATTACCCCATCAACAGTCAGTGTTGATGGGGGGGAGTCCCTCTCAGAGCGAAGTAACAAAAACGTTGTTATGAGAAAAAAAAAAAAGTTACCTTAACGAACCACAGAAGCTCTTCAAGCACTCCTTTCCAGAATACCCGCTTTGTTGTAAGCAAAGGAAACTGATCTGAGGGGAAAACAAGTAAATATGCAAGTCACTATGGACAATGAATGTGTACAAGCACACCATGTGCATGTTATTGCTGCTTTTACCTCATTCTTTCAGTGAGTAAATTTGGTTGGCCATACATGGATTGAAATTTGGCCAGTTCAGCAGGGACCAGATGAATTTCTATCCATGTGTGGCCACTGTGATTGAGCAGAAGTTGATCTACCAATTGGCTTCTGTTTAACAGCCCTGCTAGTATATTTTCGCTTGGTCAGAGCCAATCTGTATTTTTATGCAGGTCTCTCCATTTGCAGATTACAATGAGACAGCAGGGAGGATTCCCACTCATCTACATTGAAAGTGTGGATGGGGTAAATCAGATTAGTTCAACTTGTCGAAGTTCTGTCTGATCATGAGAGAATGATCACTATTGCCAGTTACTTGGCTTGAAAGATGCCACTTGTTCCAGCTCCTATGAAACCAATGGCTACATCAGCAATTAGTAACATTTTTTTGAGCTTAATTCTGCTACTAAAATTGATGTGTAGCTTGTCTAATGAAGTTTCAATAGCTCTTGGATTGCAAGCTCTAACGAGCAGGGCCCTCTGATTGCTCTTATACCAAATTGTATTGTAGCTGTACTGTGCCTTCATTTTGTAAAAGCACTGCGTAAACTGTTGGCAAGAGAATAGCTACAGTGGGGATCGAAAGTTTGGGCACCCCAGCTAAAAATGTGTATTAATGTGCATAAAGAAGCCAAGGAAAGATGGAAAAATCTCCAAAAGGCATCAAATTACAGATTAGACATTCTTATAATATGTCAACAAAAGTTAGATTTTATTTCCATCATTTACACTTTCAAAAGAACAGAAAACAAAAAAATGGCGTCTGCAAAAGTTTGGGCACCCTGCAGAGTTAATATCTTGTAATGCCCCCTTTGGCAAGTATCACAGCTTGTAAACGCTTTTTGTAGCCAGCCAAGAGTCTTTCAATTCTTGTTTGAGGTATCTTTGCCCATTCTTCCTTACAAACGTCTTCCAGTTCTTTGAGATTTCTGGGCTGTCTGTCACGCACTGCTCTTTCAAGGTCTATCCATAGATTTTCAATTATGTTGAGGTCAGGAGATTGTGAAGGCCATGGCAAAACCTTCAGTTTACGCCTCTTGATGTAATCCCCCGTGGATTTCGAGGTGTGTTTAGGATCATTATCCATTTGTAGAAGCCATCCATCCTCTCTTTAACTTCAGCTTTTTCACAGATGGCATCCAGTTACCATCCAAAATTTGCTGAAATTTTATTGAATCCATTTTTCCTTCTACTCGTGAGATGTTTCCTGTGCCACTGGCTGCAACACAACCCCAAAGCATGATTGATCCAACCCATGCTTAACAGTTGGACAGAGGTTCTTTTCATTAAATTCTGTGCCCCTTCTTCTCCAAACGTACCTTTGCTCATTCCGGCCAAAAGTTCAATTTTAACCTCATCGGTCCACAGAACTTGTTTCCAAAATGCATCAGGCTTGTCTATATGTTCATTTGCAAAGTTCAAACGATGATTTTTGTGGTGAGGACGTAGAAGAGGTTTTCTTCTGATGACTCTTCCATGAAGACCATATTTGTACAAGTATCTCTTTATAGTGGAATAGTGTACCACAACTCCAGTGTCTGCCAGATCTTTCTGGAGGGATCGTGCAGTCAAACGTGGGTTTTGAATTGTTTTTTCTCACAATCCTGCGAGCTGTTCTGTCTGATATTTTTCTTGGTCTTCCAGATCTTGCTTTAACTTCCACTGTTCCTGATGACTGCCATTTCTTAATTACATTCCGAACAGAGGGTATTGACATCTGAAAATGCTTTGCTATCTTCTTATAGCCTTCTCCAGCTTTGTGAGCGTCAACTATTTTCAGTTTCAGTTTTCTAGACAACTGCTTAGAAGAACCCATGGTGCTGATTGTTGGGGCAAGGTCAGATGAGTCTGGGCATTTAAAACCTTTGAGATTGACATCACCTGGTCTGCCCAGATGATGATTGAGAACAATCCATGACACTGGCAGGTCTCAGCTTTGGAAAGGGGGCAGTGCATGCTATAAATTCTGCAGGGTGCCCAAACTTTTGCAGACGCCATTTTTTTGTTTTCTGTTATTTTGAAAGTGTAAATGATGGAAATAAAATCTAACTTTTGTTGACATATTATAAGAATGTCTAATCTGTAATTTGATGCCTTTTGGAGATTTTTCCATCTTTCCTTGGCTTCTATATGCACATTAATACAAATTTTTAGCTGGGGTGCCCAAACTTTCGATCCCCACTGTATATGTGATTAATGGGCTCACTGACCAAGGAGGCTTGGGGGAGGGGGAGAGGGGTTGGTCATGTATCAGTCTGCAAAGCATTTACATATGTTGCTTGCTGTGTTGATCAACTTCAATACAACCAGCCTGTTTTTTTCCATTTAATCACTGCCGGTGGCTATAGCCACCTGCAGTGATCATTGTATTCTGACACTCTCAGAATGTAATAGCACCATGTGAGGGATTCCTCCCATCAACATGGACTGTGTTGATGGAAAAAAATTTAACAATTTTCTTTCCTGCCACCCATGGCAAGAAAAAAAAAAAATGCAGTATTTCTATCAGTAAACATTTTTCTGTTTACAGATCAGAACACATTTGTTTTGTGTGGGGCCATGCACACAACTGCATTGCATTCAAAAAAAAAAAAAAGGGTTGTGCAAACATTTGTACAGAGCACTTTTGCACAAGATACTGCATGTCAGCTGCAGTGTTTTTATGTGCCCATGCACACCTCCCCTTTTATTCTCCACAAACACATCCAGGTAGCACTCGCCACATCAGTTCCATGTATGGTGAATTCACATGGGAATGCAGAGCTGCTGGAGCACTTTGCCACCCCGGCTGCGGTAGGGGCAGTGTGGGTGTGCGATTCTGCGCCATCACTCTTTTTGTGCAAACATTATCTGAAGTGTACAAAATGTACACTTCATTCATGGCAATGCACAGCAAAGTATATGTAAAGCCTCACCATATAAAGCAATCCATTCAGTTTAACCACTCCCCCCCCCCCCCCCCCCTTCCTGACCGGGCCATTTTTTGCATTACGGCGCTGTGTTACTTTAACTGACAATTGCGCAGACATGCAACGCCAGATGGAATTTATGTCCTTTTTTTCCCAAGCATTGAGCTTTCTATCGGTGGTATTTGATTGCCTGTGCGGTTTTTATTTTTTGCACTATAAACAAAAAAAAGACCAACAACTTTGAGGAAAAAAAAATATTTTTTACTTTATGCTATTAAACATGTCCAGTAATTTCATCATAAATTTAGGCGAAAATGTATTCTGCTACGTCTTTGCCAAAAATATCCCAATACGTGCAAACTAATTGGTTTACATGACAAGTTATAGCGTTTACAAAATGGTGGTATAGATACTGGGATTTTTTTTTTTCCCCCTACTAGTAATTTTGTCGATCTGCGACTTTTAGCAGGACTGCGGTGGGCATTCTGACACTGGGGGGAACTAACTTGGTGTCATGACATCCCCAGTGACACCAATACAGTGATCAGTGCAAAAAAAAACAGCACTGATAATGTACTGACACTGGGCAGGAAAGGGTTAATGTGAGGGGTGGTCAAAGAGTTAACTGTTTTTTACTATGGGGGGGGGGGGGGGGGGGGGGGGGGGTTTTCACTGTGAGCACACTTATCGGGATGGCTGTGCTGTTCACTGCCATCCTGAGGAGTGTGCCCGAGCTGACAGGGAGGAAGACTGTAAACAAAACAGTTCTCCTCCCAGTCGGTGATTGCCGGTAATCACCGGGCGCCGTATCTGCTATACAACGGTGGGTAAGCGGTTAAGATAGAAAATGAATAGCAAAAAAAATATATATAGAAGAAAGACAGCAATGCATTCCTATGGGCAAACAAATGTAAACAAATGTCCGTTTAAATCAGTTTTTGCCCCCTTCTGTTCAGGTCCATTTTTTAGAACAGAGCAAGTCTGCATTTTTTTTTCCCGCTTCAAAAAAAAAAAAAAAAAAAAATGGAGCCAAAAAGCACAGGATGTAAGAGGATGACAAACAGATGTAAATGGAAGATGGATGGTGACTGAGGGCCAATTCACACCAGTGCGTTGATCTGCATTTCAGCGCAGATTTAAAAACGCAGATCAACCACTTGCCAACCGCGCTATAGCTGAATGACGGCTACAGCATGGTTGTCCAGTTCTGGGAAGGAGTCATATGTCGTCCTTCCAGAATGCACCCTCCTATGCACCCCCGGGGGCGCACACCCGATCTCCATGATCGCTGTGTCCTACGGACACAGCTGATGACACAATGTGAAAAAAAGGCCAACCACAGCGGCCTTTTACCACATGATCAGCTGTGTCCAATGACACAGCATATCTCGGTAAATGCAGTTGCTGGTTATCAGCTGCACTTTCCTCACGCTGTCACAGCGTGAGGAAAGTATTGCCGATAAGCGGCAATTGTCAGAGGACGGATCAGAGGACGGATCATCAGGACACTAATGATTAGTGCCCAGCAGTGCCACCCACCAGTACCGCCCAGCAGTGCCACCCATCAGTACCCATCATTGTTGCATATCAGTGCAGCCTCATCAACGCACATCAGTGAAGGAGAAAAATTACCTGTTTGCAAAATGTTATAATAGAAACAAAGAAAAACTTTTTTTTTTTTTTTTTTTTTTTAAGTTTTTGCTCTTTTTTTGTTTATAAAAATAAAAACACCCAGCGGTGATTAAATACCACCAAAAGAAAGCTCTATTTGTGTGAAAAAAAAATTATAAAAATTTCATATGGGTACAGTGTTGCATGACTGCGCAATTGTCAAAGTGAGAGCGCTGAAAGCTGAAAATTGGCCTGGGCATGAAGGGGGTATAAGTGCCTGGTAGCAAGGGGTTAACAGGACATCTGAAAACAATTTCCAGCGTGTCCTATTCACATAATGCTGCACTGATCTGCATTGTGCAGAAATACAACATGTATGCATGTTAGCACAACACAACGTATGCAAGTGGATCTAAACATAGTTCACGGGATATTCTTTGAAAATGCAGTATGCTTTGACGCATGCTACAATGCATGTCAACTGATGTCAGTGCATGACCAGAATGGATGGAAATGTACATCCATTTTAGCGCCAGTGCGAATTGGCGCTGGATCTAATTTTTTTTTGTTTGGGGGGGGGGGGGGCAAAAATGTGAGTGAAAGAACGACGCCCATAAGAAAGCGACCTTAGTGATCATACCCTTTGTTCTCGGCAGCATAAGAGCTACAGTAGCACACTGATCTTCCCAGTGAGCGTCAAGGGGGGGGGGGGGGGGGGGGGGGGGGGGGGGGGGGGGGCTGTCAAGACAAGTCTGATCATTGGAGGAGGGCAGGCTGAGTTTTCGGCAGAACTGACAACACTGTGCTCTCAAGCCTAGTGTGGTCAGTTTATAATAGGAAAGCAGAGGGACTAGCTGGAACACCCAGGATTTATCACAAAGGATGCAATACATAGAGAACAGGATACTTTTTTATACAAGTACATGGTACAGTGGGCACATAAAAAGGAATATGAAAAGGTTGGGTTGACGTTCTTTTAACCGCTATTTCACCGCTCTATAGCAGAAGTACTGCTACAGAGTGGCAGGGCTGCGCAAAATCATATCATAATATTATATATGATTTGCATTGGTTAGGGGGTGCGAGCGCCACCAAACCTGCACCGCTATTGGTGGCTAGGGATGGGGTGGCAACGCACTGGGGCCCAGCTGGTACTCGGCGACCATCAGGTAAAGCTGACAGGGGAGATACGTGTGTGACAGCATGCCTCCCTAGTAAAACACAACACAGTGCACACGGTAAAAACACACACAGCTAACCCTTTGATTGCCCCAAATGTTAACCCCTTCCTTTTTAGTAGCACTGATCACTGTATTAGTGTCACTGGGGATGTCAGTGGCAGTTAGTTCCCCCCAGTGTCAGAATGCCTACTGCAGCACTGCTATGAGTTGCTGATCGTCGCCATTACTAGTGTAAAAAAAAAGAAAGAAAAAATAAAAATTCCAGTATCTATACCGCCATTTGTAGATGCTGTAACTTTCACATAAACCAATCAATTTACACATATTAGGATTTTTTTTTTTAGCAGACATGTCGCAGAATACATTTTGGCGTAAATTTGATTTTTTTTTTTTTTAAGTTCTTTATTGGATGTTTTATAGCAAAATTCAAAATTATAGTTTTTTCTTTATATTTTAAAATATAAAAACCGCAGAGGCGATCAAATAACACCAACAGAAAGTTCTATTTTTAAGAAAAAAGGACGTAAATGTAATATGAGTGCAGCGTTGCATGACCGTGCAATTGTCAAAGTAACGATGGCCATATCAAAAAGATGGTCTGCTGGGGGGGGGGGGAATCCTCAGGAGGACAAGTGGTTCATATTTTTGCAGCCATCATTCAGTATGACAGCAGCAGAGCTCTCCCACACCCTCCTCCTCCTTCAGTGGATATAAGACACGGCTGAATATCTCGGTGAATGCTAGTGAAATGCTGGGACTTGTAGTCCCTCTCTCACCTCTCAGGCTGTATCTAGCTTGCAAGCCGAACACGGAGATTGTCCCGGTGCCGGTCCGGTCCTCCTTGCGGTGCCCCCTGTGGAGGATATGCCGGATCTGATCCAGATACTGCTCCTCGTCATGTGGGGAATGTTCATGACGTGGTGGCTCCTGTGAAAGATGAACGGAGAGATCGGGAAAATATATACACAGCACACACCGACCCATTCATCCCCCTCCATACCTGGTCCTTGGGGCGGACAGACGCGGTCTCCTCCGCTGCCACAGGCATTGTAATTCAGGGAAGATGTCTGGCTCGAGAATAACTTTTCCCGCCTAAACTTCGTCTCTTTCCGTATGTGAAGGCAGGCTCCGAATGAACACTTCTCCCTTCCCTCCCTCCCTCCCAGCCATCCTCAGTCTTCTCTTAGTGAGGAGAGCATGCGTTCGGTTTACCTGCAGCCGTGCTGTCTCTGTTATTATGATGATTGTTATTACTGCAGTCTGTGTGACATGAACTGGCCATTCATTGGCAGTGGGTAATGCAAGGTTTATAAGAGCGTAGAAGGGGCAATTTCCCAGAGAGCCCTGCCTGAAAGGGCCATAATCAGTAAAAAATGAATATTTGATGAAATGTGCTGCCCTGAGTGCAGTCTGTGTGTGTGAGCAGTACATGTGTACTGCGGGAAAGTGCGTATATTGGTGTACAGCTGCTGTGTATTTTAGCCTGTCATTGAGTTTACAGTATGGCGTCTTGCAACCATGTATATATACCGGAAACGTTTGTACTCTGGTATGTTGTATCAGTTTTAAATGAATTTGAGAGGCTCAAGTGAACCACGTATGGTGCAGTCCTGATCCCTGCACTCTGCTGTTATACGCTCCTTACCCATTCACCTTGTGCCTTACGCACTCCTGACCCCTGCACTCTGCTGTTATACGCTCCATACCCATTCACTTTGTGCCTTACGCACTCCTGACCCCTGCACTCTGCTGTTATACGCACCATACCCATTCACTTTGTGCCTTACGCACTCCTGACCCCTGCACTCTGCTGTTATACGCTCCATACCCATTCACTTTGTGCCTTACGCACTCCTGACCCCTGCACTCTGCTGTTATACGCTCCATACCCATTCACTTTGTGCCTTACGCACTCCTGACCCCTGCACTCTGCTGTTATACGCACCATACCCATTCACTTTGTGCCTTACGCACTCCTGACCCCTGCACTCTGCTGTTATACGCTCCATACCCATTCACTTTGTGCCTTACGCACTCCTGACCCCTGCACTCTGCTGTTATACGCTCCTTACCCATTCACTTTGTGCCTTACGCACTCCTGATCCTTGCACTCTGCTGTTATACACTCCATATCCATTCACTCTGTGCCTTACACCTGACCCCTGCACTTTGTGCTTTATAAATTCCTGACCCCCGTATTTTGTACCTGTTATACACTCTTTATCCATTCACTTTGTGCCTAATGCACTCCTGACCCTTGCACTTCATGCTTTATACATTCCTGACCCCCCCGTACTTTGTGCCTGTTATACAATCTTGACCCCTACACACACACACACACACTTTCTGCCTGACACATTCCTGACCCCTGCACTTTGTATCTGTTATACACTTGCCCCCCCACACACGCACACACACTTTCTGCCTTACACACTCCTGACCCTTGCACTGTGTGCCTTACTCCTGATCCCTGTGCTCTACTCTTACATACTCTTGACCTCACATTTTCTTTCTTACTTACTCCTGACCCCTGAACTCTTTGTTACATACTCCTGACTCCTGAACTCTGTGTTACACACTCCTGACCCTTGCATTTTGTGCCTTACTCCTGATCCCTGCACTCTACTCTGTTAACACTCTTGACCCCACACTTTATTTCTTACATGCTCCTGACCCCTGAACTCTGTGTTACACACTCCTGACCCTTGCACTTTGTGCCTTACTCCTGATCCCTGCAGTCTGTTTTACACACTCCTGACCCCTGCATTTTATGCCTTACCTACTGTCGCAAATGTGCACAACAGAGACTGACGCAGACTCCATCTTGCTAAGGGTATCCCCCTTATCCTTCCCCTACCCCTCCCTCTCACTGAGAGGAGACATGGCCAGTGTGTGTGTACTGTTTATGGGTCACTGGCCGGCCAAGGCATCTCTAGCTAGGTGCCGAGCTGTCTGTGGAAGCTGTATCCTTTCTCACCTAGGAAGAGATAAGGCAGCTTTCCCAAGAGAGTTGGAGTCTCACTGACCAAAGTACCTGTGTAATTTTACACCTCGTAAAAAGATAACAGAGCCTTCCCAAGAGTTGAAAGGGACTCTGAGCTAATAACCTAGCTCAGCGTAGGTGACAGAATTAGATGAACACTTCTCAAATCAATTTTTCCCCTTATGGACCAGAATATGAGTTATGAAAGATGTTGGCTCCAGTTTAGGGTTCTGCCTGACGATCCCTCCCTAAACAGGGGATTGGTCTTTTACTTCAGAACCACCCCCTGCTGGGAAACTTTGAAACAGGCCTAAGAGTAGTAGTTGAAGACATCTCCCATTTTAACATCAATATACCACCTGGGGGAGACCTGTGCCTTTCGCTCTGAAACGTGATCTGTTTACATCCAGACTTAATGGCAAGAACTTAACCCTTTAACTTCCCCCTGTTATCTCTTTGCTGTGCTATGCTGTTTTCTGTATATGTATATATCTTAGTTACGTCTTCTCTGTAAATATTTTTATTGCACCCGTTTGACCTTTTAGTAATAAATCTTTCTTTCTGAAAGTGTTGAACTGTTTCTATAGCTCTTAATTGCAATTTATGAATCCCTGCCTTTAACCACTTCCAGTCCGGACACTTTTACCCCCTTCCTGACCAGGGCAATTTTCAGCTTTCAGCTCTATCACAGTTTGAATGACAATTGCGCGGTCATGCAACACTGTACCCATAGTAATCTTTTACCATTTTTTTGAGACCGATAAAACTTTATTTTGGTGGTATTTATTCACCGCTGGGATTTTTATTTTTTTTGCTATGTAAATGAAAATGTCCAAAAATTTTGAAAAAAAAGTGTTTTTCTTATAAAATTTTGCAAATAAATAATATTTCATCATAAACCTTGGCCAAAATGTATTCCGTTATCTTTTTAGTAAAAAAAAAAAAAAGCCAAATTAGTTTATAACCAAAAATTATAATTTTTAAACTTTTTTTTTTTTACATTTTCATTTTTTTTTATATTATTTATTTTATTATTTTTATTTATTTTTTACATACTGTCACTCTAGCAGTACAGTGTCACCATGGTGACACTGTACTACTTTTGGGGGGTGATGAAGATTTCTTTTTTTTTTTTTACACTGATTGCTTTTTGATTACACCCATATAGGATGTAAAAGCAATCATTTCTCTTTCTCTCTGTCTGCATTCCTGCAGTCATTGAGAACTACTGAGTGAGCTGTGATTGGTCACAGCTTGTCACATGGTACAAGGCTGTTGTGAATAGTCTTGTACCATGTGACCTCTGTGATCATTCACACATTTCACACGTAGTAAGCAATGATGTCACAAGTGACATCTTGCTTACTACTTTGCATATGATCACTGATTGGCCAATCAGTGATCACATGATCGGGACCTCGTACAGAGGTCTGTCCGACGATCAGTGTTTCACTGTGTCCGGAGGACACAGCAGGCACTGGATCCCGGTGCTGCATGCTCCTGGGGAGCGCACACAAGCAGGGTGCGGGGAGGCCGTTTATAAACGGCCACTCGACCCTGCAGTGCCACCGTCCGGCCGTTTATATACAACGGCCGGCCGGTCGGGAAGTGGTTAAAAGAGACGCTACTGTTTGTTTTAACCCTCTGTATAACAGGCCTGTATTATGACCGGGTTATGCAGTCAATTATATCAACCATTATAGTTTTTATAGCTGAACGTCAAGTTTCCTCTTTCTCTGAATAAAAAGGAGGTGGTGGCAGTGTGAATGGTTAATTGCCTAATTAACCTGACCCAGTAACAATCGATTCAGGCTGCTGGCACATCGATCTGTGTCCTGATGATCAGTGTACATGTCCCCTCCGCGGAATGCTGATAACCGGCATTTCCCTGTTTACATGCGATCAGCTGTGATTGGACACAGCTGATCAAATGACCGAGCTGACATCTTCGGCTCTTTCCGGGGATCGGTGATCCGCTGTGTCCGAAGGACACAGTGCACCGCCGATCACCGCATTGCGCACTCCCTGAGCTGTGCATGCGCGGCGAGAGTGGGAGGACGTCATATGACGTCCTCCCAGAACGAGAGAACCACCTTGCACCCTTCATTGGACTATATGGCGGGTGGGACATTTTTTTACAATTTTTTTTTTTACATACTGTCACCAATGTCCTCATAAAACTGGGTGTGGTGGTGATCAGAGACACTGATTGGTGACAGTATGTTAAAATTTTTTTATTTATTTAATTATTTTTTACTCCTGTGACTAGAGAAATACAATGTTATCATAGTAGCATTGTACTACTCTGGGCAAGTGTTTAGGTTTTTATTTTTTTGTTTTGTTTTTTTTACACAGTATGATCAATGGTATAAACAACCATTTTTACTGAATGAAACTGATTAATTCAGTAGATATTGCAGTTGATCGCATGGTACAGATGGGCTGTGATTGGCCCTGTCTGTATTGTGATCACTGTGATCAGTCACAGCTAGTAACACAATTGTAAGTTATGAATGGCATGAAAAGAAGCCATTCATTGTTTACAACTGTTATGTGATTTGCTGTGACTGGTCACAGTGATCACATGGTACTGTTAGCAGGTCGGTACAGTGATCAGTCATCGGCTATGTCCAGTGGTCACAAACGGTGACAGATTGCACCGAAGCGCAGCCTGTGAGGTGCTATCCTGGGAGGATTTCACACTTCTAAGTGCTCTTAAGTGCTAGGCATTTTTAGTGTTTGGGAGTTCATTCATTCCACTGGCCAGATTAAATTAATATTCTAGACAATCGAATGAATGAACACCCAGATGCTTGATGTGCCTAAATGCACCAAAATACGCTTGCAAAATACAGCTTTATCTGCAATTTTACTGCTGCTTTTTCCTCCCCTGAAGCAAAAGCGTCCAGTGGAGGAAAACAAAAGTCTCGTGTGCATGAGGCCTTAAACTAGACCACCAGTGATGCTACAGTCATTTTGAGTAGGTGCAACTAAAAGGGGA